TATGATTTCCCAGAAGAAGATGGGAGGGAGAGATAAGCTGGCAGAAAAAACAGCTGTCCTTCCTTGAATTGCTCATTCTGAGGGGAGTCCAGGGGCTCCCACCTGGTGAGCCTCTGCCCCAGGAGGGGCTGCAGAGCCATCTGAAAGCACTCACTGACCTACGTTTGTGCAGCGCTGTGTCTGCAGACCACAAACCACATTTTGTAAACACTGCTTCTTAAACGAGGCTTGATGCCACAGTGATGACTACAGTACAAGTCTGACTTAAAAGCTTGCTTCGGATACAGTCTTTTTTTTTTTTTTTTTAATTATTGTGCATTTTTTTCCCCATCCCGTCCAGGGGCTCCCACCTGGTGAGCCTCTGCCCCAGGAGGGGCTGCAGAGCCATCTGAAAGCACTCACTGACCTACGTTTGTGCAGCGCTGTGTCTGCAGACCACAAACCACATTTTGTAAACACTGCTTCTTAAACGAGGCTTGATGCCACAGTGATGACTACAGTACAAGTCTGACTTAAAAGCTTGCTTCGGATACAGTCTTTTTTTTTTTTTTTTTAATCATTGTGCATTTATTTCCCCATCCCTGGCTGCAGAAAGCCCGGCAACACTCCAGCAGGTCAGGAACCATCAGCCGAGGTGGGGCCACTTCCTGCTCTCTCTAATCCTCCTCTGATGTTGCAGAAATTAACTAGCTTGAAGAGCTCGGTTTCTGATCCTCAGGAAATGCCAAGGAGGGGAGCTGGAATAAGCCACATGGTGACTGTAGACACAGCAGCTCCTCTTCGCTCAGGGTTGTAGAATTGTGATGGGGAGAACTTACTTTTGTGGATGAAAAAAAAAAATACGGTAAAGTAACAAGGTATAAAGACACTTCTCAGTGAATTTTTACCTGTGTAGCCATCACCCAGGTTAAGATATAAAATATTTCCAGGAGCTTCTCTGGCCCTCAGTTTTGTTCACACCCTGCTATGGTTCCCGTGGGCCTCAGTGTCCCCCACTCCCCAGTGCTTTGCACACACCATCCCAAGTCTCCCTTTTACAAGGAAATCCCATTCTGCAGGCAAAGAATCCTGTCCCATTTTACAGGCAAAGAAACTGAAGCTAAGAGAAGAGTAACATCACTGTCCCCAATACCACCCAAAACAACAGCAGCTGCTTCCCTTGATTGAGGGCACCTTTAGGGAAATTCTTGGCCAAAGATCAGAGTAGGTTTACTCCTTCTTGCCAGGCCTTGGCTTAACTGGTTCATTTCAGCAGAGGGTGAGGGAAGGATTCCTACCGTGAAGTCACGCACATCAGTCATGAGAATTTCCCTACAAAGTCCCTCTTATTTTCGGTTCAAGGTTGCCCGGGCTGGTTTTCCAAGCCTCTGCTGGGAAGGTTTCTATCTTCTTGTTTCAGAAAAACAACCACTCCCGCAGTCCAGAGAGCCACAGACACTGAGGGCCCCCCTCAGGCTTTGTCTGGTCCACAGTCCTGGGGGTGGTACAGCTGCCAGACCCTAACCTCATAATGGAGCTTTTTGACAAGGAAGACAGCTACCCCTAGAGGTTCCGCCAAGCTGGGGGCAGGTGAGGCAGGCGTCCTCCGTTCTCAGACAGGAGTACCAGCAAGGAGCCCGCCTGCACAGCTCTTCTGACATATAGCCAGAGATAAAACACGTTTCAGGATGTCCCATACTTTCCATGTCCCATCGTTGATGGTGACCTACCTTTTATCTTGTGTGGCTAGGATAGCCCATCTTAGCAGCCCCGTGTTCTAGAAACATGGGTGTCAGTTTATCAAGCACATCTTTGTCTAGATAAAGGGATGCTTGGCACATAGCAAACAAGCAAGAAACTGCCCTCCCCACCCCACCCCCCACACACTGTCCCCAGCTGCAAGGGCAGGGTTTTCTGAGTCTCCCCTCTGACAACCCTGCTAGGTAGGATCATTATGCCCATTTTGAGGAGGAAACAGGCTCAGAGGCTCATACTGATGGATGGCCTACTGTGTGCCTGGTGCTTCACGGTTATGTCTTGCAGGCACGGTTCTTTTTAGTTCCCACAACTGCTGCAGAGACTGACAGTCGCCTGTGATTTACAGCTGCCATGGAGGGCTGGCTCTGGGATTCAACGCCAGCTGAGTCTGGCTCTGTCCAGTCTTTCCCTCCATCTCTGCTGCTTTGGGGCACGGGCCAAGTGAACACTGCTGTCCCTCTGGGCAGGTGCTGTCCCTGAGGACCTGGTCAGGCCCAAGAGTGGAGCAGGCATGGGAGACTGATTTTTCTCTTGTCCCCACTTCCCCAGGGCATCCCCTTGCAAAGCCAAAGTGTTGGCCAAACGAAATGAGCAAGAGCCATGGATGAGAACCCTGCCTTTGCCGAGGTCCCACCCAGAACCTGGAGAAGGGGCGGGACATAGTGAGGTGAGGATTTTTGAGGTGAGGGATTCAAAGAATCTCAGGGCTCAAACCTGCTGATGCTTTCTACTGAAGAGCTGGTGCGTCTTTCAGGAAGATCTCGTAATCAACAATCAAACCATTTGCCTGAGAGTCTCCCAGAAAAGCCAACCCAAGCGAAAGACAACAGTGGAATAGAATAGTGTGCTGGTTTCCTAATGCCACTGTGACAAATCGCCACAAATTTAATGGCTTAAAATAATACAATTTTGTCACCTTACAGTTCTGGAGGTTTGAGTCTGAAATGGGTCTCACTAGGCTGATATCAAAGTGCCAGCCACCAAAGGAAGAAAAAAAAAGTGTGGGCCAGGCTGCTTCCTTTGGGGTCCGCAGGGGAGAATTGGTCTCCTCCGCTTTGCCAGCTTCTAGGGCCCGCACTCCTTGGCTCGCGAACCCTCCTCCTTTTCAAAGCTATCAGCACAGCATGCTTTCTCTCCTTTTATCTCTGCTCTGTCCTGAACATCTTCTCTCTTAATTCTACTTCTGTTTTTATATCTTTTCTCTAATTCTACTGCCTACCTCTTAGAAGGGTCCCTGTGATTACATGGGGCTCAGCCAGATAATCTAGGATAATCTCCATCCCAAGATCCTTACTAAATTCCATCTGCAAAGGCCCTTTTGCCACGTAAAGTAACATATTCATAAGTTGGAGACGTCCGGTCAAGATGGCAGAATAGATGGTCCCCAGTGTCACTCTCTCCCATAATCAACCAATTTACAACTATCAAAAAGCAATGACAGCCAAGCTGGGGCTGCTAGAGCTCGGGGAAGAAAAAGAGAGAGACACGGAGTTCATGGAGGCAGGAGAAGCCACGATGACAGAAAGAAAGGACTGATCTGACCATTTTGAGCTCGACCACTTCAAGGCTGGCCCTGGCGAGCACACAGAGCTGGCAAAAGCTGCTGCTGTGCCCTTCCTATGAAGTTGCTTGGAGGTGGCAGGGGAGAAGAGGGCCTTGGTGGCCCCCAGGCTAGCAAGACCCCTAGCAGGGTTCCTGCGGACCCACATAGGAGCAAGGGGCCACAGACAACTGAAAAAAGGAGCCACTCAGAGGCCAGCGAGTCACCACAAGGGACCAGCACATGGCCCGTCTCATGGGAAGTGTTTGGAGCACGGGTGGTGGGGGAGACAGGCCCACCAGTATAACACTGGGGCACAGCATAGACAGCTGATCTGCCCCAATCAGCACAGGTCCATTCGGTGGAGACTGGTCAGGAATATAGAACTGCAGGGGATGCTGTTTGCTGAAAAGACCCAGGCCCAGACCAGAGTTTCCACACAATCCAGGTGTACCAGACCTCACAAGACCCAGAAGTGCTTACGAGGTCAACAATTAAAACCTGAGCGGCACAAAACATCTTCCCCAGGGAATCAGCAGCAAAGCAGCAATTTAGCTCAACCAAGGGCTCAAATGCTGGTTCCTACAGGAAGTTCCCCCACTTTAGCAGTAACCAAAGGACAACAAATTAGTTCCAGTGCAGAGTTTAAGTGGAGAGAACAGCGAATAATCCAACATGAAACTGAAAGAAAAAACAAAAAGCCCACAGATCAGAGACAAAGTTCTGATAGTAACCAGTAAAGGTCTAACACCACCAAAGAACACCTATATAACCTAGAAGGACTGGAAGCCCCTCGGGGTTCCAAGCAGGGGTGGCAGGGGACCGAGGGCCTCAACCATACCCCTTGACATCCGACATCCACATGCAGCCAAGCCACGACCACCAGACCGTCGCCAGAAGCATCCCGGGCTCCCAGGTTGGTGGGGGTTGCTGAGGGCCTCAGCCACACCACCCCAAAGTCTACATCCAGTCGAGCCATGACTGAGCTGCCACTGGAAGCCCCCTGGGCTCCCCTGCCGGAATGATGGGGATGCCATGGGCCTCGACCATGCCCTCTCCTCTTCCACCCACCCTATCTCTCTGCCCCTCTATGTAAAATAATAATAATAATAATTAAGTAACCAAAAAAATAGAATTAAAAGATAAAAAATCATATTCATAAGTTCTAAGGATTGGAATGTGGATGTCTGGGGTGGGCGGCATTATTCAGCCTATCACAAACAGCACAGTCACGTCAATGTAGGCATGGCTGTTCCAGTGTCCAGCCTAGGTCGGGGGGCAGATGGCTTGGTTCTCATGTCTGCCACCTGCCCTGACCCTCCAGGAGGTAGGCACAAATCAGTGACATCCACCACGTGTGGAAGTTTCCCCAGGTACCCAGACTTGTCATGTCCCCAGAAAGCAGGCACTGCCATATACCCCACTTTACAGATGAGGAAACAGATTTGAAATAGATTGGTGAGTGTTTAAGGATTTGCCAGGGGTGGGGGGTTGTGTGTGTGTGTCCAGAGTCAGGGGCTGTGTCGGGGACACTCCTGACTCTCTGCCTCTCAGAGCATCTGGGACAGAAGTGGCTCATCTTCATCATCACAGGAAAAGGGGCCTGCCCCCCTGCTGTCGCCGGGCGGGGAGTGGGCGGGTGCTGACTGCAGACTGGCCTCCTCATGGCTCTCCCCGCCTCCTCCCTGCTCTCCCGCAGGCTGCTCTGTCAGAGCCGATCACACACACAGTCATGCTGTCCCCGAGCTCACGCTGGCTGGAGATGCCTGCTCCCAGACTGGCGATGGTGAGCGGCCAGGTGCTCCCAGCCTTCCTGGTGTGCAGCACGCTGCTGATCATCAAGATGTACGTGGTGGCCGTCATCACGGGCCAAGTGAGGCTGCGGAAGAAGGTACGTGCTGCCCTTGGGGACCCCAGTCTGGGCTGTGGCCACTTCTCTTGCTGTCACTGGGAAAGTCTGGGGACAGGGGAACATGGTCAAGGTGTGAGCAGGGCTTAGAGCTGACACCTCCCCGAGCCCTTCTGGATGGCCCCCACTGCCCTGAGTTTCAGCCGGGATCACACCTCCTTGTCTTCTGGTTTGAGAGGATTTAATCTCTTGCCGTGCCATCATGTTAAGTTTTGGGCACAGGGAGACTCTGTGAGTGTCTCTGATAGAAGCAGTTCCTGGAGGGTGGAGCGTGGAGCGTGACAGCACAAAGCGTCCGTCTGACCTGGCGGCTTCCCGGCATGAGAGATCTGAAATTTGGGTGGAGTGGGAACCGGTGAAACAGGAGCCTGAGAAATGTTTAAGTGGAAATTCCCAATTCCCCAGCGAATGTCCCTTACAAGCCCACTGCAGGCTCCAGAGGCCAGGTCTCAGCCAGGCTCCATTGTGATGCTGAGGGAGGAATTTCCCCCACGGTCCAAGTCCCTGAACCAAAACAACAACAATAAATAGGCCCAGAGCTGAGCCGGGCGAGTGAGCGGGCAGGACGACCCGTTCCAGCAGACTCTGCCGCAGCAGGCAGCGAGTCTGCAAAGTTTCGGGTCAAGCTCATGGGCATCCTGTGAGAGTGCAGAGGCCTGTGGCACCTGTGGATTATCCTGCCAGGTTTTGTTTTTTTGTGTTGTTTTTGGCGGCTGGCCAATATGGGGATCTGAACCCTTGACCTTGGTGTCATAACACCACACTCTAACCAGCTGAGCTAAACGGCCGGTCCTTCCCAGCTATTTTAATAGAGGGATCGTTTCCAAACTGTGCCCCTTACCCCCCCTTTGTCTGGTTCAAAGGCAAGGCAGGCTGACTCTGGCAGTGGGAACAGGTGGATTCTGGGGAGTGGGTATCCTGCCCATGAGCCATGCTCAGCCCCTGGCACAGGACAGGTGGGACGGAAGACAGGGCAGCTGCTTGGGTAACGTGGAGCCTGGAGGCTGTGGCACATTAATTGCTTCTGACTTCTCCCTGCCTTTGCCCGTCTTGGGATGTGGGTTACAGGCATCGAGCAGGGACAGCTGCATTCACTCATTGAGTCCTTCTCACGTGTGGCTCAGAGCTGAGCATTAAATCCCCACCATGGCCCTGGGGGAGGAGGAGGAACCATATTCACCCTGTTTTCCAGGTGAGGAACTTGGGCTCAGACATCACTTACGGAGGTCACACAGCCAGGCTTGCACCCAGGTGTTGGGCTCCAGAGTCCACGCCCTGCTTTCCTCTGAACAAGAATTTAGAGAAAGGAGGAGGCGAGCCTGTGCCATGCCTTTCTGCCTTATCAGCCGGAACATGGCAGAAGGAAAACTCCCATCAGGCTGCCCCCAGGGGCTCCTTACGTCCTTCCAATTTCTGCTCTGGGTGCTCAGTGTCAGCAGGCAGAGATGACAGACACAGCTCTGGCTCCTCCACTCTCTAGCCTTGGGACCTGAGGCAAACTTGGGAGCTCAGTGTCCTCACCTGTAAACTGGGAATAGTAAAAGCAGTGGCACAGAGCAAGTGCTCCACCAGTGTTAGTCCTCACGACTTATTAGTAATTGAAATTAACATGAATGGCAGCAGCCACAGATCACTTCCTGGGAGTGCATCCAAGGCCGGTCCCCTTGCCCTGCCTCCAGTGGCCCCCGACCTCTGACACTGGGGGCTCTTTGGTCTGCACTGCTGCTGCCTCCTGGCCAGGCTGACTTGTATTCAAGTTCTGTTTGCAGGGGTGAGCAACCCTGTGGACCGTGGACTTCAAAGGCAGGTGTCCGCTGAATGCTGAAGCCCTTTGAAAGATGTCACAGATCCATGGATGCTATGTGGGGCCATCAGAGTTGGTGATTAGCTGACTTAAGGGCCTGCAGGGAGGAATTCTGGGTGTGGGAGTTCCGATCCTGACCATGATGAGCATCGGGCATGCCTGCATTCCCCTCTGGGGTAGGGCAGAGGCAGGCCCACCAGGCAGGACAAACCAACCCTTCACGGACAGAGTCATGAGTTGGGAGCACAGGGTTTTATTCTTGTGTAAGCAAGTTAGATTTTGTGTGTGTGTGTGTGGCTGGCCGGTACAGGGATCCAACCCTGGACTTTGATGTTATCAGAACTACGCTCTAACCAACTAAGCTAACTGGCCAGCCCTTGGATAAGCAATTTAGAAAACCTGCCGCTGAGACTCGGGTTCTACTGTGGGGTCGTGTGTGTGTGTGTGTGTGTGTGTGTGTGTGTGTGGCTGGCCGGTACAGGGATCCAACCCTGGACTTTGATGTTATCAGAACTACGCTCTAACCAACTAAGCTAACTGGCCAGCCCTTGGATAAGCAATTTAGAAAACCTGCCGCTGAGACTCGGGTTCTACTGTGGGGTTGGTGGGGTTGATTTTGCCTGGATGCCAGCAGGGAACCATGCCGCATGAGCCACAGGCGTGGACCTTCAATGACCTGAGTGTGACCTTATGTCTCTGCTTTCCAGTGAGAGAAGTTGACAATTCACTGAGTGCGTGGATGAGCCACAGGCGTGGACCTTCAACGACCTGAGTGTGACCTTATGTCTCTGCTTTCCAGTGAGAGAAGTTGACAATTCACTGAGTGCCCTCCTTGTGCCGGGTGTTGTGCTAGAGGCTTCTCCAGGTCTCTCCTTCACTCTTCACATGGGACATGAACTCCGCTTTGTTCTGAGTTTACACATGAGGCAGTTGAGGCACAGGGACATTCAGAAACCTGCAGGTAGACAGTGTGCAGCTGGGCTTCCAGCCTGGGCCTCTCAAAGCCCTCTTATTGCTTTTAGTACAAAGTCCAAATTCTTAATGTGCCTGTAGGACCCCTACTGACCCCTGTAGGTTCATCCCGGGCCCCTGTCCCTTGCTCTCTATGTTCCACATTGGTTTTCTGTTTTTCAAACATGCCCAGCTTCTTCTGACCCCAGGGCCTTTGCACATGCTGTTCCTTCTGCCTTAAATGTTGTTGCTGTCAGTGCTGTCTTCTCTTAATAGGCGAGACCACCTGGTCTTCCCTGGTTCATAGACAACTTTCCCATTAGACTGTGAGCTTCACAAGAGCAAGGACAGGAGGACCTGTTTCACGGTGAGCCTCCAGCACTTGCTACAATGTAGAAGCCATGGATGTTAGTTGAATGGACATGTGTGACTGCACCGTGACCTTTCCTCTGTGAACCCTGTCCACGGACAAAACACAGACCCAGGTGACAGGGCCATCCATCTCACGAACAGTAATTCTCAGCTGATGTATTTCAGGCTTTTGCCAACCCTGAGGATGCCCTGAGACACGGAGGCCTCCAGTATTGCCGAACCGACCCAGACGTGGAGCGTTGCCAGAGGCAAGTATCCTCTAGTCACTGGCCTGGCCACACCTGCCACAGACCTGGCCGTGGCCTGGCCTTTCACACCTTCTTCTGGACACCGGGTACTTGGAGGATACCCAGGGGGCCCAGGTTTTATGTGTTCCTGATCCCCTGGACTGTTTTAATTTTATTCATTGATTCAATTTCTAATTAACTTTGGAAAGGTCACATGTGCTCATGACTCAATTACAAAGTTAGAAAAGGAAATTCAGTGAAAATACAGTCTCCCTCCCACCTCTGACTTCCAGATATTACTACCCAGGGCTGCTCTTTTTTTTTTTTTTTTTTTTTTTTTTTGACCGGTAAGGGAATCGCAACCCTTGGCTTGGTATCGTCTGCACCGCGCTCAGCCAGTGAGTGCACGGACCATTCCTATATAGGATCCGAACCCGCGGCGGGAGCGTCCCTGCTCTCCCAGCCCCACACTCTCCCGAGTGCGCCATGGGCCGGCCCCCAGGGCTGCTCTTGAGGGGCAAATGCTGTCACCAGCGTCTCCTGCATCTTCCCAGAGACTTTCTGCATTTACAAACACTCATTGCCATGCTTTTCCCTCTTTACCACGAAGAATCACCCTTTACCCACTGGTTGGGCCTGTGCTTTTTTTCGTATGACAACAGAGATTGTTTCATATTGGCTCATAGAGGGATCTCATTGATAGCTCTGGTGCTGTAGTATTTATGCCGTTACTCTGTTTTTTTTTTTTAATTGAATCAATTGATTATACATATTTGGGGGTTCAGTGTTGACATATGTTGATCAAATCAATATTACTAGTATATATACATGCCGTTACTCTGTTGAATGGACAACCCATAACTTACCTAACCAATTTCCCTCTGATGGGCATTTGGGCTTTTCCAAGTCTTTCTCTGTTATGAACAGGGTGCACCGGCACCTCTTTCATCTGCCTTTGTGCATATGTGTGAGCAAAACTGCATAAGGCAGCCGACGGTAAGAACCACCGCCAGATGTGCACGCGTCCACACCCACCACTGGTGGGGGCCACCGCTCCGTGCGTCTGCCAGCTCAGCGCACTGTCCTGCTTCTGCGTGGGCCCCTGCCAATGCCACAGGTGAAGATTCACGTCACATTTTCATTTTGCTTTGCATTTCTTTTATTCTGAGTGGAGTTGAGCATCTTTTCCTATGCATGACATCCCCCAGTCAATTAAAAACCATTTTTCTCATTATAAAAATCAGGACACTCACTGCAGACAATTTGGGTAATACTGAAAATACAGAGAGGCAAAAAGGAAAACCACTCACAGTTCTAATCACTGTTAACGTTTTCATCTCTCTCCTATTTGTCTTCTGTCTAAATATTTTGCAGAAAATTAGGCATGCATTAAGTATACCCAATTTGGGGTTCTGTTTTTTTTTTCTTTGGTTAACATTATTTCATGAACACTTTCCATATCAGTAAATATTACTCAAAAAATAATTCTTAAAAAGTGGCTGTGTAGGGTCCAGCCCGTGGCTCACTTGGGAGAGCCTGGTGCTGACAACACCAAGTCAAGGGTTAAGATC